CTTATTTTTCCTCCAGTTTTTCTAAAATCTCTCTTTTTCTCTCTCTAAAGTCTCATCCCTGAAATCTCCTTCCTTAAAATTCTCTTTGATTTGTTGTACAAATATAACGATAAAGTTGCCAAAAAATTTGTAATTACATCTCCTTAAAAATCACTTATTTTTTATGCAATCCTTAATTCAAAAAATAAATCTATTGAGGAGAAGAGATATGAGCCAATAAAAAATAAACATCTAGAAAGGGCCGAAATTAAAGAGCAATAAAAGAAAATATTGAATGATTTATAAATGAAATACAGACAGAATATTGCTTTCCAATCAAATATTAATTTTTTTAATATTCATCTAATCTCTAACAATGAGCATGATACAATGCACATGCCATGCTAGCATTAAATATTTAAACATGGGAAAAGTTTATATAAGGTTGAAACATTAAAATGTAGAATCACAGATGCACCTCAAAAATCTATTGGAAATGTTGTTTTAATGTTGAAAAAAACCTTCTAATTGATCATCTCGACATTGAGATGTATGAATATGAAAAAAAAAAAAAATCTTGAATCCCGGAAATAGTGCATCTTGCAATACATTATGTAGACCGTCCATTTTCAAGATTTCCATATATTTATAGATCTACTTGATTTTAACCATTTTTGAAATTTTAAATTTTCTAATTAGGTATAAAAATAGATTTTAAGATAATACTAAGAATTTTTATAACAAAATTTCATGTTATGATAAAATTTTAAGGTGCGCCTTGAATGGACTGTTTAAAGTTGCACCCTTTAAATATATACATACCAAAAAAAAACATAGATAGGGTATATGCATTTTTCATGACTTTTTGGGCAAGAAACATCAATTCACATTCAAGACAAGACAACTCATACCCATGATACAGTCCTTTTTGGCTAAGCTTATGATGCATTTTTCTCTCTTTTAGAAAGCTCTATACTGCGCTGTCATAAGATAATCCCAAAGGGTAGGTGGAGCACTAACCAAGTTGCAGAAAGCCAAAAAGGGGTGCCTTTACCATATCATATCAGAAATTTCATCCAAGTGTATCGGCTATGTATAATTTCACGCAAGCATTGGTAAAGTAAAGAACAACCAAAGAAAGGAATTGCCGGTTTGCAAAATTAAAATCAGCCCAACAGGACATTTTTTTTGGCTACGTTTGTTTCGTGTGAATATATTTTCCAAAAAATATTTTCATGTGAAAGAATTCCCTATTGTGGTTTTGTGTAGAAATATTTTCACACCAATTGATAGCTAATTGGTGTAAAAATATTCTCGTACCTAACGACAAGAGAGAATTTTTTCATGTGAAAATATTTCTCGGGAAATATTTTCATATAAACCAAACGTGCTAAAGGAAAAAATATCAAGGAAGAGAAATAGTTCCACCCAATTTTGCTTACAATTCTATAAACCAAATCAATACGACAATAAATTTCAAGTTTTTCAACTCGCTAAACATAAAACTCACATGTTATTCACATGGATTATATAAACATAAAACTCACCTGTTCATTCACATGGATTATATATATATATACATATATATATATATATATATATATATATATATACATTGCTATAACAATGCATACAAATGTAGTTGGAAGTATTCAAAAAAGATATAAAGACTTATGACCTCACTGAAGGTACGACCTTTAATAGAGCAGAATGACGGATCAGAATTCGAACCTCAATTAATTAGAAAAAGCCTATGATAATGATGATACACAACTATTTAATATTTTAGCTGTATCTTTCCGATATAATTTCAAAATACTTATCAAATTATAAATGACCTTGGTTTGGAATACTTGAAAAAGGGTAACCTGTTGAAGTGTTGAAAAGGTTGGTGTATTTTGATAAATTTCCCATTATAGATTAACATCAGCATGATATGTTATACATTTCACAAACTACTCTCTCTCTCACTCTCTCACACACACACACTGAGTGTGTGGGTGGGTATTTATCATTCTAACTGTCTCTATTTGTGTGTATGTATCCACAAAGAGAAAGAGAAGGGACGAGAGAGAGAGAGAAAGAAGGGATGAGGGTTCCCTTTTGTGCACCCATACCATGGGACTGCGGTTGTGCACGGGAAGCATCATCACAGTGTGAAGGTTCTAGCTTCTGTGTTCTGGTGTAATGTCCAGAGAAAACGTAATCCCCAAAACTTGGTAGAACTTGTTCTCGTGTAATGTTCTGGTGTAATCCCCAAAACTTGCACACTCAAAAACACACTCAAATCCACGACCGCAGTCCCATGGTATGGGCGCACAAGAGGGAACCCTCATCCCTTCTCTCCTCTCTCTCGCCCCTTCTCTCTCTCTCTCTCTCCCCTCTCTCTCTCTCTCTTTGTGGATACCTACACACAAACAGAGACAGTGAGAATGATAAATACCCACCCACACACTCAGTAGGTGTGTGTGAGAGAGAGAGTAGTTTGTTTAAGGATTAAAACCCTCAAATGAATTCCAATATTTAGGGCATTTCTAATGGTAACCCAGCCAATAAGTTAAATTTAACACTAACATCCAGCTTACATGGTAAAGAGTTGTATGTACAAACTCTACAGTATTTCAAATTTTCCAAGGGAAAACAAAGTCTTTCAAGTCCAACTTACCACCTTCAAGATATCCACAACCACATTCAACTATCATAAAAGCAATCCCTTAGAATCCCTAAATATCAAGTAAAGCAAGAGCCCCAGCTTTCATGCCCTCCATCTGATGTATCACTCCCAATTAAGTGCACAGTAGGCTAATTGCTCTAGCTCTCTGTTAATTGGAGTTTTTATCTCTTCACTCTCTGCCACCACTCGTTCTTGATACGGTCATCAACTCTAACCCCTTTGAACTTCCTTTTGACAAGAAATAAGAAATCATGGCTCATATGATTTATCGACTACTATGCGTGTCTTACCTAAAAATCTTGTCTCCTTCCGTTGTCCTAAATCACATTAGAACGCATAGATTCTCACCATCCCCTTTCAGGCAATGCCCTGATTTCCATGTACTTAAAAAGGTCAGTAGTGTTGGGATCCACGCAGCCTACTAGGAAAATCTCCTGGAAATAAAGCCATCAGCTATGACCATCCTATAAATCATTGAGACGAACAAAGTATCACAAGCTTTATCAAACCTTACATAATTTAAAAAATTTGGCAGCAGGAATTTGGGGAGCATGAAACCTAAATGAGAATGCACTTACAATTCCAATCCAAAAACACATCCATCCAAAAAGACTGGGAATGGCAACAAACTAAACAGTCTTCTTATTCCTTCTGTCAGTGTCAGGTCTTTCTTGAAAAAGTAAACACCACGAAACTTTCCGCCTTCCTATTAAAGCAAACCTAACCTTAATCCCCCCCTGTTCTGCAGTTACTCAGGCAAAAAATCAAAAGATTCAAAAAATTGAAATCCATACCCATGCCTTCCATGATAGACATTCAACCACCAGAACCACAAAGAAACATCCTAAGATGAAAGATCCTCAAGAACCCTACCTGCTTCACTTCCTCAATAGTTTTTCTAATCACACCTCTTTCTATTGATCTTTTGCTTGTCATCAAACCGTGGAGCCTACCAATAAAGCAATGTTCATTTTCCTTCGTTTTTTATACACAAAACCCTTTAGCCTATTGAGCTCTAGACAAACCTTCTGCCACTTCACTAGATGGCTTTAATACATCAGATAACTCTTTGCAAAAAGACCCTTCGCAGCCTATCAAACTTTCCCACCATTACCATTGGCATACAAAGAAGAGACATGAAATACAGTATGTTAAAAAAGTCCTTGGTGAGCATGCTATGATCATCCACGGAAATAAATCAACCTTCCTTTGCAACACACCTTGCAAACTTCCTCAATCGAATTTTCCACAAAGATTTTTGGGCTCTCCCACACAGGGGTAAGTTGTTTTACCAATCTCTATAAATCCTTCAACCATGAACCATAAAAGGAATTATCAGAAGATGCTTCTATGAACCAGGCTAATATGCAACCTGATCTTGTCGAGCAAATTATTTTCAGTGAGAAAAGTAATGTCCAAGATTGCATTTGTACTCTTTATTATGGAGTCCCAAATCCTTTGGGAATGGAAGAAAATACCCACAGATTTAAGAAAAGAACATATCAATGCTTCCAAGGATTAACATCAAGCATCACGTAAGGAACAATATAACTTGGAGAAAAGAAGGGGAAGGTGGTCCCTAGTAAACTATATTGTAAGAAAACAGATCATTCTGTTTCTAGATTCCAAACACTTCAATATGTCTAGAATTGGGTCCTCTCTCTAGGAGAAAAGGGAAATAAATAAATAAACTGCCATCGCAAAGGACAAGAGTAATATGGATCATCCTAGTCTCCGATTTTTGAGAAATAGAATAAAAATCAAGGTACTAGAAGACGATGAAGAGGCATAAAATGCATAAACAAAAATAGCTAACTCCCTAATTGATTAATTCCCTTTTAAGAACACCTTCAAAACAGGTAACTCCCTAATTGAAAAAACCGGTAGGGGCATCTCTTCCCCACCGAACTACCCCAAAAATAAAATAAAACAGACATTTCTTAAAAAGTAACAGCAACTCTAGGGTTCCTACATTCACTGACTTTACCAAAAAAATAAAACGTTTGCAACTCTAGGATGGTCCTTCAATAGCATTTCTAGAACGTTCCCATAAGATGGAACAGGATTATTACTTTTAAGGAAGCAAAATAATGAATATCTCAATCAATTAAAATAAAGCATTATATTAGAAAAAAAAACACCAGGATTATAAGAATTCCAGCTTACCCTGCCACATCTGTAAAGGCTAATGGGCGTATTTCTAATTTCCCCATTAACCAATTTTTGTGCAGGAATCTAATACAATAACCAAGAAATTACCCAATTTTCAAACCCCAAAAGAAAAAACTTTATAAACTATAAATACAAATTATCAGAAAAAGAAAAATAATAATCCTACGCAACAAAATACAGCCACAAATTTTACCATCTTCTATTTTATTCAGCATTATTCAAAGCCCAAACACTCGACATCTCACAACACAAAATACATTAAAACCATATTCTCACGATCAGAGAGCAATCCAAACCCATGAGCACACATGTACAATAATCTAAGACAAACCAACTGAAAAATTATCCCAAAAACACACAAAAACCCAACAATTGCCCATAAATTACAGTAGGAAAGAGCTATTTAAGAGAGAGAAAGTAAAGAGACAGTAAAAGCAAAAGCCCCACATGAATCCATGGAAGAAAAGCAACATAATTACTAGAAAAAAAAAAAAATTAAACCACACGACCAACAACTGGATACTTAGCTTCGAATTTCTTCTCCCAATCCTGAAGAACCCCAATTTCCTTTTCGGAAAGATCATTAATGGAGGGGCTAATGTCTTCTTCATTTTTGCTCATCTTGGCCAGAGCTCGGCTTGCATCTCTCCCTGCAAAAATGGCGTACGAACCACCAGGACCGTAGAAATTCTTAGCAGTGGAGACGTCAAAAATTCGCCCTTTGATCGCCACATAGATGGCTTTGCTCGGATCTGAGCCATTGAATTGTCTAAGCCCCTGCTCTGTGAGCTCCATCTCTCTCCCTCTCGGAACAATCTGTCGGTGCCTCTTTTTCTCCTCCATGGTTTGTGTTTTAATATCCGGGATTGTTAGGGCGGATTGTTTGCACGCAGATCCACATATTTAGATCGGGTTTGGATTAGTTTGAATCAATAAAATAGAAAGTAATTAAAATAAAATAAAAATTAAAGAAAAAATTACAGACAAATCCGTTATATTTTGTATTATTACGGATATACCAAATAATTTTCGTTATTACATGTTTGTTTTTGACCTTTTACAACGTATTTTTTTAAAGAAGGCCGCTTTACTTTTTTTTAGATGTTAATATCAAAAAATAAGCCTAAAGATAAACATAAAAATTTCTATTTTCGGATGCTAAACATCCAAAATTAAAGGATTTTCGGATGTTGAACATTTCGGAAATGTTATATTTACATTTGAAAATTCTTTAATTTCAGATATTCAGCATCCGAAAATAGAAAATTTAACGTTTAATTTTAGGTCTATTTTCGGATGTTCAGCATCCGAAAAAAGATAAAGTGGTCATTTTTAAAAAATTACGTTATAAAAAGTAATAAATGAACATACATGTAATAACGGAAAGTATTTGATATATCCGTAATAACGTAAAATATAACATATTTTTATATAATCCTCTCAAAATTAAACATACATATAATAACAGAAAGTATTTGATATATCCGTAATAACGTAAAATATAACATATTTTTATATAATCCTCTCAAAATTAAAACATCGGTCTTTTGGGTGGGGATATGGAGGAGTTTTAAAAAGCATTAAAAAATATATATATTATATATAAGGTTGAAGGGAGAACCGTTTTGGTACTCATACTATCTTGAAATTGATTTGCTATTAATTCCCATTCGCATCAGAAATCTAGTTTGACAATTGCCCACTCCTGCAAACGGTGAGTTGGACCGAAACGTCCTAGCTACGATCAAGAACCCGTGGGGCCCGTCTAATTTTGTCAAAATATCACGAATTGGTCGGTTCTATAACGATTGGTCCTCTCAAGCAACTATTTCACTTTTATTTTTAAATTTTTTTTTTTTAATATTTTATTAATGATATGCGATCAAAATCACTTCTCCTTGAAAAACCTTCTAATTGATTATCTTGACGTCAAGATGTAAAAATATAAAAAATAAATAAAAAAAGTTCAATCGAAAAATTGTTGCATCTTCCAATACATTATCTCCATCTATTTTTAAGATTTTATAATTTAAACCATTTTTAAAATTTAAAATTTAAAATTAAAAATGAAAATAGATTCTCAAACCATCCTAAGAATTTTTTGACATCAAAATGACTTCTTATTCTAAATTTTGGACGCGCACCCTTACGGTTACAACCTTATGCAAACCGTATCAATGTCAATCCCGAAGTCACACGCCAACATTCAAAAAGAAAATTTTCAATCTCATTGTCATGTGTAATATAGTGACCTAAGTGAATAGTTAAAGTTGGTAAGCTGTACCATGGCTTATTTGTCATATATTATGGGTGTCATTTGATTTAAGAGGACAAGTGTGTATATGAAGTACTACAAACGATCTTGTTGCCTCTAGGATTAGAGCATTTTTATGGTTTTGTATGCCATTCTAATTCGTTCATTAAGTGAACAATATGGTATTGGTTGTGCTCCACTTGTAGTTTTATAAAAAGATTAAATAGTCACTGTTTTCAAAATTTTCCTAATGAAATGAAATTCATTGGTTTTTAACCCTGGGCCAAGTGAGAATTTGTTGGGATCTGGTGGCCCTGCTGGTCTACCATTCTCTATCTCTTGCTGCTTCCTCTATTATCAGGGAACTCTGTATGACTATTGGCCCATCCAATTTAGTAGAGAATTTTGGATGATTCAAAATTATAGATGATTCAAAGAGCTTTTCAGAAGCAGCTGTTAAATTTGGTGGCAAAAAAGAAACTCAATTCATCTCATAGAAACAAGGTATACCACATTTTGTAAATTCACATTACATGTTATTTTATTTTCATGAATCTGAGTAGCAAGCCATACACAATTTGCACTGCATAAAAACACTCAATTTTGATCATACATGTCATCATGTGTACATGCCACTACCCCAAGTAAGGGAAGCCATCAAGCTGATGAAGACAATGCAGCATCTTAAACACCAATGATGAGAACTCAGATAGAGAGAGAAGATGGATTCTACGGGCAACTTGGTGGCATTTGCACTCCAGCAGAGACCCCCTTCACATTGCTACACGAGGCGATCGAAACTTCCCCCTGTCCATTGTACTCCAATTTAATATTATCGAGTTTAACATTTTGGCATGGGAAAGCCTCACTGCATAAGAGATTCACTGCAACGTTTGAAGAAGAGGTTCCTCTAATGTTCTTAGAACTTATATTACTGATCTTGACTCGAGAAGGACCCTGTAACAAAAGCAAGAGAAGGGAATCAGTTTTTCAGTGTATCTCAATGTATTGAACTCTACGGATGAATCTCTATCTCTGAACGCATGTGTGCTTGTGTCTTGAAGGAAGAAGTGGTATTGTTTGATGGTTTACCTGTTGGGCCAAGAAGAGTAAGGGCAATATTGTTGATTTATGATGATGGGGTTAGCCACATTGCTCATCACAATATTTTCCTAGGTGAAATTGGAGGCAGAGCTACTGGCTGAGCCTGCCCAAGTCTTGATCCTCAAGCCATTGGTGGTGTCTCTTATGGTGCAATTCTCCACATGGATCCCTTGCACATCCTCCTTCTTGGGGAACTTGCCCAAGCTTCCAACACTGGATTATATAAAGATACTGCCATGAGCCTCAATTTAGTTTTCATTCAACTTAAAAATGTAGATTTAGATTCTTTAGTGTGTGTTAAATTTTTTATAAGAGTTTCAAGGTTCCCAAAGTTTGGAATTAAGACTATAGATGTAATTACTTTTTTTTCTTTCTCCTAGTTCTTTTAAAATTTGGATTCCTTTAATCTTTTCAATTTCAAGGTTTAAATTCCTCCATAAACCTCTTTAATCCTTGTAAGATAAATGTTAAAAATAAGATGTCATAGTGCACCTAATGCCATGTCCTAGTCCACAAAACATGTTCTTCACAATAACTTGCGTATTGCCAGGACCAAAGGAGATGCAATCGTCACTGGTTCCAATGCGAGATCGCGAGATTGTGACGTTGGATGATGACCCAATGTGGATGCCATCAGTGTTGGGGCTATCAGCTGGTGCTGAGATTTTGATGGATCGGGCTGTCATGTTCTTGCAGCCAAATAATAAGATATGAAGGCGCCTGCTATCCACTGAATGTATGCCTCTTATCGCCCCATTTGTGAAGAAACTGAACTTCAATGACTGCATAAATTTTCAATTACCATGAGAAAACATTCATAATTCTCAATGAATACTAAGCCTGGCAATTAAAAAAATGCTGGTCTTTGTCTTTCTTGGGCTAGAGAAGTAATATATCCATTAATGTAATTAATTTACTACTTTTCACTTACATTTTAGTGTGTGCCTGTGCGTGCCAAATCATGTTGAACCCACAACTTCAAGGTTGTAACAACAAATTCCTTTCAACTAAACAAAAGACTAGATCCAACAATGCTATAAGTCGTATTGCTAGGGTCCTCAATCTTTTAACCTAGAACAGTCTTACAAATTATAATAGGTTGAAGGAGAGAGATCATTTGTACAGTAGGGAGGAGTTTGCAGTGGGCCTTCTTAGGACACTGGTTGAGGCTCCATGCATATGCTCCATATCCATCAAACGTCCTGCCCCCAGTGACCACAAGGCTATCTACATACTGGAACACAATCCAGTCGTCATAAGGGTATTTGCTCATATCTGTGGAGGCCTTCACTTGAACCACCATGGGAGAGGCACCAGGGCACGGACCCTTGAATAGAACTGGACCGACAAGGAATGTTCCCTTGGGGATCACAAGGTGTGATGGTCCTTTCCACTGGCATGCTGCCTTCCAGGCTGCACCGAAAGCCTGCAAAACTTTCAAACCACTGTAAACCAACAAGCTTGAGGTTGGCAATATGTGAACGTTGTTATGCTGTTGCAATGGACAAAGGCCATATGTGTTATGTATAATTAGTAGCCATTGTAGTGCATAAAGATAAAAAGAATAGGGTGAATAAGAAAATTTAAAAAGTACTAACAATAAAAATGAGAAAACGTGGTTATTTCTTCTTGGCATAAAAAAAACTCTCATATTTAAGGGAAATTTAAAAAAAAAAAAATCTTAGTTTGTTATTGAAAGTTAAAAATAGTTTTATATATTCCATATTTTACACTCAAGTTCCACTTTTTTGATGGCACGTGTCATATTTTAATTTTACTATTTTGTTTTGCACTATAATTAAGTGAGGTAAGGCTCTTTAATTTATGTCCAAGCTTTTATTTTGACGCAACTGCCATATTTTAGGGTTGTAAAATAGTGAGTTGTCTTCTCTTTTTATTATTTATTAATGAAAAGAGGGTAGGAGCCCTTCTCCCCAACTGACTTCCCCAAAAAAAGAGAAGAAAGGTAAGACTCTTTAACATTTACCTAGCTGTTGTCCATGGAGCCATCAGCAATGGCACCATATTGCATCACATTGAATTCTCCAACAGAAGAAGAGTTGGCATCTGCTGCAAAAGAGAAGAAAGGTAAGACTCTTTAACATTTACCTAGCTGTTGTCCATGGAGCCAACAGCAATGGCACCATATTGCATCACATTGAATTCTCCAACAGAAGAAGAGTTGGCATCTGCTGCCTCTACAGCAGCCATTGCCACCAATGCAACATAACAGAGCAAAGCACGTTCTTTGGAGTTGTAACCCATGCTTATTTTCTTTAGCTATAGCTATCACTACGAGAGAGACAGAAAGAGAGATGATTTGATGCAGTTGATGGATAGCTCAGTGAATATTTGTAGTGAGAAGAATGATGGTCCTAAATGTATTTACCACCAAACGATACACACATGTTGTTGGATGTAATTGTTTTAAAGTTACAACTCCCCAACTCCTCATTTATTTTAACAAATCGACAGCCACCATCTTCTCTCTTTGCCATCTCTTCTCAACCAGTTTTGTTTTTGTTCTCTCTCTCTTCACCTGATTAGTTATTTAAGTTTTCAATCTCATGTGAGCTCACCGTTTATCCCCTTGTATTACAGGGTGTGGTGTGGGATTTAACAACTCCTTTCTGTCATGTAAGATGCTCACATTCCTTCCAAACTGATTTGGTTTTTGTGGTAGTAGTGCCTTCTACTACACAGCTCTCACGGTGGTCCCATGGTCGCAAATTATTAGCGTGGATGCCACCAATAATCTCATATTTTGAAGTGAAATTTCAGATTCATATAATGATGGAGGCAGTTGAAATATTCGGCATCGTTCCTCTGGCCTCGGTCGAAGTTTTAGAGTGTGGGTGCCGAGCCCAAATGAGGACCATTGGCAGCCACTCACATCGCCTGGCCAGAGAGGACTTCTCTCTCCTTATTCCCCCATCTCCTTACACGTTCTTGTTAGTGTTCTTTTAAGAAAGGAAATAGTTTATGTGCCACATCAATCTTAATAGTATAGAAGTAATAGAAGTAAGAAATTCAAAAATTGAACACCACTAGACTCAAGAGTTGTGCTTAGGGAGGTCTAAGAGACAAAAATAGAGCTCACAATGATGATCTTGAAGAAATAAGAAGCCACTCTTTAATAACGATTTATTGTGTAACTTCGATGTATTATCAATTTATTTACTTTTTACCAATATTAAACCAATTTATTCCTCAAGAGAATTACAAGAGATTTACATCATGGATAATACATATCAATAGATGTATTATCGATATGTTGACATCATCATAGACACGATACTCATGTATGATACTTTAAAAACTGAATCACTCTATTTTAAGATGAATCTCATCATAAAATTGTGCAATATCACCTTGAATCCTGTCCGCCTACCAAGATAAATGGGATACAAACACATCTGAAAATCTATTTTTGGGTTGGTACTTCTAACACTTCCATGACCAACACATCTATCATCGTCTTGTGATCATAGTATATCCTATACTTCAATGGGGGCATAGTGTACATCTATTCCCTCTCTAAGATTTCCTGCTTAGGAGATTTCCTTCGGTTTAAAATTTTGAAAACCACTCAAGGATTAGTACATAATTGTTTTCAAATAAAAAAGATCAAATTTTGAGTTTTCTAAACCTTAGATCTCAACATGATAATCCCATTCAATATTGAGACATCATTTTATTCAAGTGCACATAGTGTATGATTAGAAAATTTTTGATCTCAACGGCTTGAATAGGCTATATCCCCAAAATCCCAAAATTTGACGTCAAAAAGTAAATCGTAGTTGTCTTACATGGGAAGTAAATGGACAATTTAGCCCCACCGGAGTATAAAATCTTTTAGCTATTGTCATCACCCTCTCGACTTGAATATTTGGCGATCACGATTTTGGTCTGTTCATGCGATAGTCTACGATAAAGTTCATTGCAATTAAACATGACAAACCAAGTAGTACTAATATGAACAGTTGGAATTGCTCAATATCACAAAATTTTAGTGATAATGGCGCAAAAGCAAAAAATAAAAACTAAATACACAAATTTTATGTAGAAAAACTACATTGTTCATTGCCACTTAACCTCCATGAACCATTAATTGAAAAATAAAAAAAAATTACAACTGCCTGTCAACATGAGGGCACCAGAAGCAAGAAAGAACTCAAAAGTTATAAATGTGGGTTAAAACCACCGCAAAGACTCGAGCATGGGCCACCAAAATTCTCATAGAGCAAGCACGCTATTACTGTTTTAAGCAATCACTGGTGCAAGATAACATATTCCCAAAGCCAGTATTACATGTATGCATTTCTCAGTTAAGCTTCCGTAAGGTCATACAAACCGTCATTGCTCTTGGCTAAAGAAAGCATTAGATTCGAACTCATCTGATGTCACTCGCTTGTCGAAATATTGAAGCTCTTTCTTCAATGCCAATCTTTTTCCAATGTGTACCTCAGTTAAAAAGGACGACCACCACCCGAAAATTCAACCTCCTGATAAAACAACCACCATTTGTCAAAAAGTTAAGCCATGCTAATATTTTCCTTTTCTACAATTTTTTTTTTTTTAATATAAGTTGCCCTATAGAATGTTAACAGAAATAAGCCAGCGCAAACCATATTAACAGAAATACAAAACTGCTTTAGTGCAACATATTCTTGAGTCTGTTTCAGCAAATGAAAAGAATATCACCTGAGCTGGAGGTAGCGTAGAGACCCAGTCAGAAGCATGCGTCGGAAGTAGGCCCAACGTGTTCAACTACAAATGAGAAAACCACTGCATGAGTTGTGAAAACCCTAACTTTGAGAGAGAGAGAGAGTCCGCATAGAGCCAGATTATGCGGATGGAAGAACTAAAAAAAGCCACTAGACTTAATATGGGACAGATGAAAAAGCTCACCTTCCAGACCCCAAGGGCCAGCCCAGCGAGATTCAGAGCTATGAATAGCAACTTAGGAGCAAGAATGTCAATTCTAGAGTCCTTGTATGGCTCAAACACTGCATAAAATCTTTGAGAAAGGAACATCAGAAGAAAGATATGAAAAAGCTCTGGCAAGATATGACATAGAACAATTATCAAAGTTGCCACAAAATAAGAAAAATGATCAACAAGCTGGTGAATTTCCCGATGGTTCCCCAATCCCAACAATGCTACACCACAACACATTGGACTTCGGTGTACGGTACTCCAAAGGTGTATCAACCATCCATTTCAATGGATAGTTGGAGATAACTGTACACAGGTGAATGTCCATTAGGCTCCAATCCAGTTCTCATCCATCCGTCAGATGTGGATGGATGGTGAATGTAGCAGCAGAATATATATAAATAGTGCATTTGGGGTCCTGCATACTTGCCCTCAAAAAATTTGGGAAATTCTGGTCAACAGTTAGTTTTGGTCCTGCTTGAAATGAAATCGAGTCATACAGTTTCTTGTTACTATTCCAACAAGAACCAATCACAATTCTGAACCTCTGATAAGTGTGTTTTTGAAGTTAAGTTTGAGTCAAGAACCGAAGATAACAGTAGTAAAGCAGTACATAAAATTCAGAAGCTAAGCAGCAGAAGTCGGTTTCCCATTGATTGTCAAAAGAAAAGAGGTTGTGTTCTCATACCCTTTCCCACACCCTGAAGGGCACTTATGGGCTGCCAAAGAGCAGAGAATGTGATGCCAATACTGAACAAGTGCACTGTGCTACCGGCCATCCACATCATGAAAGCCATCATGAACAAATTCTTAAATGGAGCTTGGGCCACTTCCCATGCTTTCTGTTCAAGAAGAAATTTGGATGTCATTATGATGATTTACAAGAAAGAAGCAAATAATCCAAAGCAATAAATGAGAAGTCAAACTTAAACCACCACTTTTTTTTCTTTTTTTATTAAACAAAAATCATCATTGACCAAGGGCATGGGGAACTTCAGCAAACAAAGAGCACATATACAAAGCATGGTAAGGCTACTCATAATCAGCAGCTGGCAAAGGTATCTGATTCAATGAATACCAGCTTTTTAGAGCTCACCAGGTCTGACTCTGCCTCGAATGTGTCAAGCAGACCTGGCACCCTAACAGGTCCAAGTGAAAACCCTGGGGAACCAGCTGAGTCTCACTGGTTCGGGGGATTCTTTGTAATTCTTTTTTTAAGACTCAGCCAATTCTGACTGCAGACTTGGACCTGGGGACCTGGGCCCTGCCCAGTTCCAGGGGGCCATCCCAGTTTAAAAACACCAATGGATGCATTAATAAAATATCTTCACGTTATCCTTAAAGAAAGACTCAATGCATGAGATGCCCAAGTCAAACTGTGATCCAACAGTAACTAAAGCACCTTTAAAACATATTAAGAGCAAGAGAATACATAAGTTGGCATCAGCCCATTACTAAAATGAAAGGCACTTGTTGCACCTCAAGATTGTGGGTTGAATCCCAGCTCACCATTTAAAGAAATGGGAAAAGGAGAAGGGAGGAGGGGGCAAGCAGGGCATGACAATAGACCAGCTGAATTCTTCAGATAAAGGCATATGGGCAGACGTTTGTCCCTGAAGGTTATGGTAAATGGGCGAAGAAACGTTAGGTAGCTGGGTAGCTGGAGTGTGAACAAATCCAGGTCAAATGAAATGTGAATGTTAAAAATGTTATCATGAAGCGACTTGCTTACAGGTTCTGTTACATGGATTCTTCTATTTGGAAACCAAACCAGAGTGGACACATATTGACACATATACTGAAACATATTCTTCTGGATTCATGTTTACTAACCATTAACTACATCAGTTTAGCGACTTGAGCTTCTTCTTTTTGTTGAGTAGAAACATATGAACTATTTGTGCACGTTTTGCGGAAGCCAATGGAGAAAAGAGTGCGATCATGATGCAGGTTTCAATTCTGGAGGAGCAATTAGCTTAACTGGTTTGTTGGGCACTAGTATGTTAGGCAGCCCTGGCTTAGTCGAAGGTCAAAGAGAGAGGAGAATGGATTGAACCACTTGATATGTGATGAAGCAATTAAAGGGGGGCTGAGGTGCACCATAAGATCACTTGGTACAAACTTCATGAATGGTACTTGCTATTCTGCTTCGGAGATATTAGATACCTGGAAGCTGTTCTTAGGAGGAATAATTTAATTGTAAAGCGAAAGGTCTCACAACTGAGGAGATGGGAAGAGGAACTTGGTTGAGACTTGAGAGGATCACTGTGGTAGAAAGGAGGAGGATAAGGATGTGTGAACTCATAACACAATGTAGGAATAAGATAAAGTGATCAGCTATAAGGGACCAATAAAAAAGAGGGGCCAAAAAAAAAACAGAGGAAAAAAGGCCAGTATGGAGAGCAATGTATCAGAATACAGGCAATTAAGGAGGTTTGGTGATCAATTTTTGTTTTTTCTCCCATTAGAAGACCATCGGGGCTTGATCATCCTACAAAATAAACAGTGGAAGAAGGAGCAAGGTAGAGTTTTGCATAAGTGAATTTTTACAACTTTGATAATTGGTTTGGTCCATGCACTAAATTTGTAGTGCATCTTACAACTTAATGTGAGATATATGGGGCAAAGAAGATCACTGCAGACTGGTTTATGCATGACAATGTAATACTCTTTACGGGAGTAAGCCAATGTCATCCCATGTAAGGTAACAAAATCTACATGCTTTGTACCAAAAAAGAATATGACTCCAACTATTTAACTTGAATAACATGTAAAAAACATGTACCATACAGTTTACTGAGAAATAATCTATTATTACCAGTAATTTAAAAAACGGATCGGTGACCCAGATTGGGCACACCGAAAACTGGTCCAAATCGGTGAATCAGCGGTCCAGATCGCTATTTTACTATGTGGAAAAAACAGTGAACTGACAAAAAAGCAATGAACTGGCCAAAAACTGGTCCAGATCAATGAATCGTGGTCCGGATTGCCGTTTTACTGTAGAAAAATTGTCGTTTTACTGTGCGGAACCGCTGGTTCCCTTTTAGACTCAGCCGTTTTCCTATATATATGCGGAACCGGAATGGTGTGACCGATTCCCGGGTCAGACCGGGCAATTCCGTGCCGACCCACCATTTTTTAAATCATGGATTATCGCCATTCACTGACATCAGTGTATTTAATTCTATAGTATTAAATATGTATTCATTAAGATCCTCCCCTGTTGTCATCAGTTATTACATTCGTTTGTGGTAGGTCACCTATTACTATTATAAAGCACAAAAAGCTTGGTATGCAATAGAAATGCATATTATTCGTCTGGAACCAAATGAATCCCCTACATCACCCCACCCAAATGCCTGCTTCCAACTACCTAGCCTATATGCTTCTTAATTCCCACTTGAAGGATCTACTTCCAAAAATTTCTCCCTTGTAATAGCCTCCGAAATAAATTTAAGGCTCATTCCAACATATCCTACCTCTTTTACAGCTCCTCCACGTCAAAAATTCCAATCAAATGTTCCTAATGAACAATTGCACATAAAGAGGACCACAAGATATCAAGCCTTCCTAAGCATATAATGTTACAAAGTCCACCCTCACTATTTCAACAAAAATTTGGGAGGAACTAATAGCAATACCAATCGCACAATGATTAATACAAGCATTATTAGAAATGCTAACACCAATTACGCATGCAATGCAGTTCAAAAGCCTACAAATGAAACAAACAAAGGAGAGCCAGACCTATAGTAAAATCCCATCTTAAATAAAAGGAAAAGTAATTGCCTGATAGCAGAAGGGCAATCCCTGAATGGTGGTCCTAGACAATGCTAGCTTATAAGAGATTTTTTCCTGGCATGCCTGGGAACTCACCAGAAATTGGGTCTCAAGGGGGGTTTTAAGAGTTTGGAATAATTAAGCATATTGCAACATAATATACGGGCGTGTTTAGGTGACAATTAGTTTTATCAGGAGTAGATTACGTTAGCTGAAATTAAGGTACTCTGCATAATATTTGTTAGTTGTTTGATACGTACCTCATACTACATATATAATATTATTTAAGTAAGCTTTTTGGGTGATTTTCAGCACTTTTTAGTTATTTCAAGCTAAAACATGTGATTTTCAGCAAATTACTTTGAATAAAGTAAAAAATCTTTTCAGAGAGATAACCTTATATGTAAAACTGCATTTAAGTTTATCTTAGATAATTTTATGAGGGACACTGCTGAACAACAGATAATTCATTATCAAGATTAATGCTATTGAAATGGTGAATATCAGTGATAACAAGTACTTCCAAACAAGTATACGCATAAAGTACAAGTTGGTTATACAATAGTTAGTTATCAACAAGAAGAATTTAAGAAAAACAGTTAACAGAAATAAACACACCTTGTAGGCTACAGGCTTCTGTATTAACACAAGGAAACCATATGGCAAGAACCTTGGAAAGTACTAAGGTAACAGCTCTACGAAGTTTGTACCAAACAAAGAAAGTCTTGTTTCATACATTCCAAATAATAGATTTAGAGCCTATAAAGATATTAGCATAAGATATTCTCATGTAGAAATTTTTTGAATATTCAGATATCTGACTGATAAGACAGATAGTTATTTGTAAATAAATCTTAATTGTTGAATTATTATAATAAAAAAGAAAAAAAATATCAAATCACTTTTGAATCATTTGGAAACTTCCATTTATTATACAAAAAACAATAATAAGCGTGGATCCAGCTTTTTATTTTTTTTGTGAAAGGTAATTGTGATTCCAGTCTTAATCTGAAATTCTAGAACTATCACCAAAAGTAACAATAATTTCTTTGCTATTAAATAAAAAATAAGACATAGAAAGGATAACAAACCATTTCACCAATACCAAGGAATACTAATTTCATACAACTTAAGTATAATTGGTCAACCCTATTTCATTTGCCCAGCTCAGATATTCTATTCCTGTCTAGTACACAATTTACTAACTCGTAACTAAGTCCTACGCTAAGGTATTTAGATAGCTTTTATGCGACTTAAAAAAGTGAAGTAAATTAGTCAATCAACTCGGGTAAGTTCATTCACTCAAGCAAATACCTTTTTTTCTTGAGATTCCCATGGTGGGGATCTAGGAAAAACACTGGAATTTAGATTTCTTGATACCCATCAAGAGCGACAAAAAAGAGTCATCATGTTTTCTAAGTAATTAAAGGAAATTCTTACTGAAAGATACCTGTAACTTCCATGCTGCTTCAGCTTCCTTCTTCTGACGACTTCCAGATGCTTCATCCTGGAAATAACATAAATACAATATCTAATCAGTAAAATGATGATTGATAAAAGAGCCCATTAATGTATTTCCAAATCTGGAAAAAGAAAAAAGGCACCATCCGCAAAACAATTATTCAAAAAACAAGCCTTACTCTTCCATTCGAAAGACGAGAATAAGGAAACAGTTCAGCTAGCTTTTAACACGAATAGAACTAAACAAAGAATTTAATGAAAAATTGAACCGTAACTCAATTGGATTTTGAAGGAAAATTCATGAAAAGAACAATATTTTGATGCCTTCAAATCTGATATATATATATATATAGAGAGAGATAGAGAGAGAGAGAGAGAGTGGATAAAAGCGGCTTTAAAATATGAGAGATAGAATGCAACTGTGTGAAAGTATTAGCCTTGTAGAGAGACAAAGAAGTTAGAGAGAGAAAGAGTACCGATTCAAGAGAAGCTCGACTGAATCCAAGGGGATCTGGAACGTCTCGTGAGGACTGTGATGAGGTATCTACGAGATCGATGGCCCATCGACGAGGGAGCCCTTTTCCCTTCTCCATTAAAACAATAATGAAACCCTCTGAATCTAACAATGAAAGCCTCTGAACCTTAAAGAGAAATCAGATTTTCGCAGAACCGAAAAAATTCACTTCTTTCTCTACGTTAAAATAGAGAGAGGGATCAACCTTAATTTTTTTTTTTTTTTTTTTTTTTCTGACCTAGGGTTCATATATAAGACATTTAAAAGGCAAGAAACATTCTAAAAATACCATAGATAACCCAAAGAATCTTTGGAAGAAAATACGGTGGTCTCCCCAAGATGGTAGGAAGTCCGTAGGCTCTACCAAAATTGACCCGACCACCTTCATTTAGTACTCCTCTCCGTTGCATTGGCCCAGTTATTGTCACCCACTGGATTTACTAAACGCACCCGCAAAATTGCCCCAAACACCCCCACTTAGCACGTAGCTCGGTTCCATTGCGGGTAGAAAAGTTTTTCACGCATTGGTTTTAGTAAATCACACCCAAAACAAAATATGCTATAGGTCAATAAGGTTTAAAATCTACCCGATCCTCGTCATTATCATCATTATCCCAGTTTTTCTCCTACCATTATCCCATATTTTCTCCAACCATTTGAGATCTAGACTCTCAGGTGAGACTGCTCTAAATTCAACCTTTCATGCATCCTACCATTCGAGGTACCTTTTATTCCACTCTAAACTTCAATATTGTTTTGAAAAAATTACTAAAAATCCCATAAAATATACCTTTTTTAGACACTCTACCCCCGCTTTAAACTTTTTTTGTTTCTTTTTCTCGAAAACCATCTTTTCTAACTAATACCCCCAACCTAAAAAAAATAGAAATAAAGACAAAATTATCCCCCCGCCCCCTTTTAACTTCTACATTAAAAATGGTGTTTGCATTGGCAGTCCGGCATTTTGTGACCAACGATCCGGCATTTGTGTAGGCAGTCCGGCATTTTGTGAGCGAGGTCAGGCGGTTTGCGTACTGTAATAAAATCACTCTGGTGTTTTGATGCAGTTGTCCGGCAGTGTATGTGTGCGGTCCGGCAATATGTTTACTGTAATGTGGGCAGTCCGGTGATTTGAAGTAGTGCTTTGGCAATTTGCATACTGGAATGACGTCTGCCCGACGTTTGCAATGTGCGGTCCGACATTTGTTTTTAGAATGATGTTGTCCGACATTTCACAGCGTCGCTCTAGCATTATGGTCGATCTATCCGGCACTGGGAGGATGCAATCTGGCAATATCTTACTCGCGGTCCTGCATTACAAAACTTCGCTCCGGTGATTTTACCACTGGAGATGTAAGTCCGGCATTTCATGATCTCGGTCCGATGTTTTAAATATATGAGTAGGGTGGTATGGAATTAGTAGTCTACAGTCCGGCGTGTCACTGTCTAAATAAGCAATCCAACATTGTAGAAATGCAGTCCGATATTTGTCGTAAGTCCGACAAATAACATCTGCGGTCTGGCGAAAGTATTATTGGGATCCGTCCAAATGATTTGTTCGTACGCTGAAGATACGGGAAGGGGTATTTTCGTCAAAAAATGTATCACTCTTTGAATTGGGGGTATTAGTTAGAAAAGATGGTTTTTGAGAAAAAGAGTGGGGGTAGAGTGTTTAGAAATCAATGAGTTTACGACGAAAATATATTTATTTTCTATATTTTTCACTATATTTACCCAAATCACTATATTTACCTAAATAAAAAAATCAACGAGTTTAGGATAAAAATGCCCTTGCTTTCTCTCTTCTCTTCTATTTTGGAGTCACATTACTCTCTCTCTACCCACACTCTCTCTCCCAAAGCAAAAACTCACTCTCTCTCTCTTTCTCTGGTAATGCAGTCCGACACATAGGGTACCGGACAACAAAAAATATTTCGATATGACACGCTTTGTGCTAGACTACATTACCGACCTTAACTCAAATTCTAACCAATCCGATACACTAGGTACTGGACTGTGTAAGAAGCCACATTACTGGAACTCCAAGTGGTGCAACCAATGGTTTAAAAAACGGATCGGTGACTCGGATCGGGCTCCCAAAAAACCGATCCGGATCGGCGAATCGGCTATCCGGATCGGGAATCGGATGAATCGGTCAGAATAAAGCTTAAAAAAAATCCGAAAAAATTATTAAAATTCATTATAAATATTTTTTTTTAGGAATTCAATAAGAAATGAAGGTACTCCATTAAGAATTTTCATGTTTTTGAATGAATATGCGAATATTGATATGTTCTTTCCCTGCATGAACCGCCATTCATCATTTAATTTACATCACACAAAAGGATAAACATAGAATTATCATGGAATAAGTATATCAACATACATGGACTACAATAAAGTATAAAATTAGTAACATATGATCTAAAAATAAAATGATAGACGACGTTATTGTTCTTCTTGGTCACGCTGGTGCCATTGATTGAATTCGTTTAACAATTTATTGATTCGATCTAAAAACGAATCATCGATATTAGCAAGCGTCTGACGATTCCCAAATCCCTGAGTATTAGTATTTTGTTGTGTTCCCAATCTAAAATCCCCGAAGATTGTCCATCTTTCATGCTCACCTGCACTGTCGTGCTCATCCCTACACTGTTGCTGTTGGGACTTGATATGTGAATAATATGGCTGGGATAAGGTGGCTTCAGAATCATCATCTCTCTCATTTTCTCTGTGAATAATATGGATTAAAAAAAAAAAAACAAATTTTCAAAAAAATCGATCATGGATTAAAAAAAAAATCACAAATTTTCAAAAAATTCTATCATGGATTACAAAAAAAAATTCGATCATGGATTAAAAAAAAAATCACATATTTTCAAAAAATTCTATAATGGATTACAAAAAAAAATTCGATCATGGATTAAAAAACAAAAATCACAAATTTTCAAAAAATTCAATCATGGATTACAAAAAATTCGATCATCGATTACATAAAATTCGATCATGGATTACTTAAAATTCGATCATGGATTACAAAAAAAAACAAACAAAAAAAACAAAAAATTCAATCGTGGATTACAAAAAAAGAAAAAGACAATTCGTTCATGGATTACAAAAAATTCAATCATGGATTACAAAAAACTCTATAATGGGTTACAAAAAAAGCAAAAAACAAAAAATTCGATCATGGATTACAAAAAAAAAAAAACATTTCGATCATGGATTACAAAAAAAAAACAAACATTTCGATCATGGATTACAAAACATTCGATCATGGATTACAAAAAATTCTATCATGGGTTACAAAAAAAAAACAAAAAATTTGATCATGGATTACAAGAAAAAAAACAAACATTTCGATCATCGATTACAAAAAAATCGATCATGGATTACAAAAAATTCTATCATGGGTTACAAAAAAAAAAAAATTCGATCATGGATTACAAAAAAGAAAAAAAAAAATTCGATCATGGATTACAAAAAAATCGATCAAGTATTACAAAAAAATCTATCATGGGTTACAACAAAAAAAAAAAAAAATCCTTACAGGACTCACCGATTCCGTACAATGAATCGGCGAGTCACTGTGCATAATCGTCCGGTTCTCTCTAGAACCGGACGATTCCCGTTTTTTTCGTCAATTCGATCCGTCCATGGCGATTCTGGAGTCGAACCGGGCTCGGCATTTTTTTAAACACTAGGTGCAACACACTGGGTGACAGTTCGAAAATTTTTTATAGTCTGGTACAGAGACCAAATTTCTTTGCGGTCTCGCACTTTTTTATGCAGGCACATAAAAATTTCAGTTTGCACCCTATGTGCCGAAATGCATTACAAGAGAATGAGAAAGAGAGAGAGAAAAACCGAGACAGTGTGTGGGTAGAGAGATCGTGTAGGTAGAGAGACTCCAAAAATAGAAGAGAAAAGAGAAAGTAAATGCATTTTTGTCCTAAATCCATTAACTTTTTGATTTGGTACAATATTGGGGTTTAGGGTGACACAAAATGTTTTGGGGGTAAGATGTATAGAAAGTTGTATCGGAGCTATTTATGATTGAAAAAAATTTATATAGAGCGAGGCTATAAAAATCAAATTAGAGCCCACTTCAAAATTTTCACTATAAGAGGTTGTTTTGATGTTCAAATTGATCATCTCGGCATCAAGATGCATGGATATGAGAAAAAAATGGACTTCAAGTTTTCAAAATAGTGCAACTTGTAATATATTTTTGGACCGTCAATTTTTAAGATTTTCAAATTTTCATAAATCTGTTCGATCTACACTATTTTTTAAGCTTTAAATTTTAATATTAAATATGAAAATATATTTTAAAGCTAACACAAAGATTTCTAGAATTAAAACCACATTTCTTGACACTATTTGAAGTTACGTTTTACTTTGGTTTTTTTAAAGCCTCGGCTCTATACAAACCACACCTTTTGTCATTTGGGATTGTTTACAATAAGATCATTTACATTTACTACAAGAAGTCACAATTATTTACAATCATCTGATGTGAAATCTGATAGCTTCATGTATGACAAAGTTTAAAAAATTTTATTTTGAACTTTGAGCTTGGTCAATGAAATAAATGCAGCCACACAATTTTCCATCCAATCGTTAAGATTAATTGTAATCACCTTGACTAAACGTAAATAGTCTTATTTTATACTTTCCCTTATAATTTACCTTGTAATTTATTGATGTAAAGTACACCTCAAAACTTATTTAGAAGAGAGTGTTACGGAGTTGCAAAGCACTTCAATTAATCATCTCGAACACGTGATGTGTAGATGTGAAAAAAATGAATTTCAAATTTTTAAAATAGTGTGTCTTGTATTTTTTCTAGACCGACTATTTTCAATATTTTCAAGTAGTTATAGGTATGTTCGATCTGTTTTATTTTGGGATTTCATATTTTATAATTAGGGATGAAAGTAGATTTTGAGGTCACAGGACTTCCAACCGATTCTAGTGAATTATGGCGTGCGCTTCACTTTTACAATATAAGGTCGGCACCCTATACAAATTTCACGATTGTTTTTGCACCACATGAGATTTCTCTATCACATTTTCTTTTTTGGGGAAGTTTCCTCATATACTTATTAAATTAAAAATCACTTATATTTTTATGGGATTGTATACTATGATATAATTTACCATTGTTACAAAGAGGTCATAATCACACCTAGATATTAAATTTCAAATTAGAT